ATGAAGTTGTTTTATGTCCTGAGACATTTCATTTTTACTTTTCTAACTAAGAATTATTAGTCAATCAAATCACAAATACCTTAGAGACATTAAAAATACACATTAAACAAATACGTACTTTAGAGGTTAGGATGACAGAAATCTAATTAATTCTCGGTCCTTTCAGGACTCAACATTAGCTCAACAGTCTGGTCAGAATTAAAGAATCTGGGCTGTTTCAGAAAATTATTTTAAACTTGAAACATCTAATTGTGTTCAAGTATTTCAACTACAGAATATATACGTACTTAATCCTAAAGTTGTTTATTTTGCAAAATTCCGCATTCATGAACAAACTATTTCTCAAACAGTGAACAAACAAAAATCAAATGATAAAAATAAAACTCAAAACTTTACCTTCCTTCTCAAGGTGCCTATAATGTCGTGTCATTTGGCCCAGGAGAGTTCTTCCATACCAGATATGAAAGGAGAAAAAACAGTATTTGCCATGATTGCACAATCCTTATAGTAAAAAATCTGAATGGCCTTTTGATGCACTTTTTTTTGTCTTATTATGGTACGTAAAAGTTTTTCCTTTTTCTGACCACCTCTGGTGAGTTAAGAGTCAGAAATAGATTTCACAGTAAGGCTTTAAGGACTGCTGAACAATCAGCTGCACATTCACAAAAAGAGGCCAGTCAGGGAGGAAGAAAGTGGCCAGAAAAAAAAAAAAAACCTAAGAAAAAAATGACTGTTGAGCCAAAAGGGAAACCTCTGGAAAAGGTAATTAAGTTCAACCCGCTAGTTTTGTAGTCCAAGTTAAAGAATACATCTGTTGGTGACTGATGTTCAGTTTTGATCTTCTCGTTTTTTTCGGCTGCCAGTTTTGACGAGCACTTTGAAATGATTTCTGTGTTTTTGCCGATGTGACTTCACAAAGAATCAGATCACTTGCTGCTGGGGGAGGTGTGCAAATCGCTCAGGCATTTGGTGATTCTCTCCTTCTGCCTGTCAGCTCGCAGAAGTTGCACCATTTCTGTCAGTCTCTTGTTTCTTTCAAAAAAACTGTTGCAAGTCAATGTTGAAAAGGATGAAACGTTTCTTTTAAAGAAAATGTTTAAGGTTGAACATTATTATTATTATTATTATTATTATTATTATTATTATTATTATTATTATTATTATGTCACTTGGGGGCTGTAGATACAATATATTAATCTTCTGACATAATATTTAGATTCTGGGTTTTGTTAAGCTTCGTTTTCACTCTTTTTACTTAAAGATATGAATTACATTTGTCAGATAAAAAACTAAAAGGACACACTCTAGGTGGGAACAGCAGATTTTACAAAAGCTGGGATAAGGGAAAAAAAGTATTTGCTTTATATAAGAACAGCTAATTCTTCTGTAAATGGGTCCTTCTTGATTAAAGCACCTTTGATGTTTTATTTTACCTCAGGTGTTTCAAAGGGAATTGTGTTTATTGGCAAACTTTGCTAAAATAATAATGCATCTATCTGTGAGAGCACATAGCTCACAGGAAGAGACTTATAAATTCAGCTTACTTAGGATAAAGGTGTATTTCAGTTGTGTGTGTTGTGTGTGTGTTATTAGTGACGCTGTTGTGCCTTCTGTGAAGAATGGGAGAGGGGTGAAGGAGAGAACCCTGAGCTGTGTCTGAGGGAGGATGTGAGAGGAGAGACGTGCGGAGGTGAAGGAGGATTGATGGAGTGCGTCTGTGACCAGGGTGAGCCTACTGTGCCTGCTTGTTTAACAGGCAGAGAGACAAAAAAACAAAAAAATAAATAAAAAAAACTACAGAGTTTATTACCTCATCCTATTGACGCTTACTTTGTTGTTTYATTGATCATTTTTTCTCTTATGGTCACATTAAACCCCCACATTTTTAACGACCAGCACTGCAACCACAGTGTCTTCTGCCTCAGTTTGAYGCCTTAAACCGAGGATACTTCAAAGATAATTCCTGTAAATGTCTATTATCCATATTGTTGGCTCAAAGGGCATAATTGGCTATTAGCTCCACTAATCTGGCCAAAGCTCTTCAGGTTGTAGATAACTTAGACTGGGAGGGGTGAGAAATCATGGGGAAAAAAAAGAAAATTAACAGACATGCCTGAGTCTTATTGTGGTACTGGTAATATGATACACATAAACTCAGTCAGCATGAAGGGGTCCCGCAAGCCCCAATAATTGCCCAAACTCCGAGGATTATAGCCGTAATGAGAAACTATAGTTGAGCTGTGACGGGATCACTGTAACGCCTGATCCAGGTCCGTTTTACTGACATGGCAGGAGCAGGATTAGCTCATCAGACCCATTCTGGATCAGCAGTGAAGACAGAGAAAAAGCTGAAGCCTATGTGGCATCATTGGCAATATTTTTGTGATTTTTATTGTGTAAGAAGAAAAAGTGAGTTACTGATGAATACTGCAATATTTAAAAGTGTGTATCTGTAAGACTGACTGAGTTGTAGCTAAGTTCATGTTGGATAAGTTATATTTGACTTTATAACTGCACTCCAAACATTAATCAGACGAAGATGCACATCCAGTGGTGATGTTCTGATCTGCACAGTCGTTCATAAGTTGATAGTTAATGTTAAAGTTTGAAGCAAAGGTTTTGTGTAATGAGTAGCACTTGGAGTATGTGTTGTGACTCACAGCCACAACCACACCTAAAGTGATCATAATGAATTGTAAATTATATTTAATGTTTTCTGAGACCACTTCACTGTGGCAGTCATTGAATTAGATGTACATCCAGTGTCTAATTTCAGGAAATTTCAATAAACTGTCTCAGTGGTTCATAAGATATTTTCCTAACAGACATAGAGTTGACTCCAATCATAAAAGACAAGCAATATATACCAGTGTGGACACATCTCAAATAAAATGTAACTTTAGTTCTGAGGATTAAAATAATACCCCCAACAATGTTTCATTGTTTTTATCACCCAGCAGACTGAAGAGTTTCTGTTCATGTGAAAGCCATTTAGTTCCTTTTGTTTCTCTGGGTTCAGTGTTCTGAAGCGGAACCATTTTAGAAGATGCGTGCCTGCTTTCTGGGACAGTGTGACTAAACGTCTGTATCGTATCACTGCACAGAGTGACCGCAGTGAAACGTCTTCAACCGCATGAAGGGAGCCGTAAAGTGAATATAATCATTCCCACATAAGACAGAGCTTGCTCTCAAAGAGATCTCGGCAAGGTGAAATCCTCCTCCTAATCCCCTGCCAAAAACTCAGCTGGGAAGATAAGAGGGCTTTTTTATTTCTCCTTGGTCTCATGTTGGTAGGTTGTGAGAAACTGAAGCTCCAGTAAGAATGCCATGCCTTTTCTTTTCTTTTCTTTTTTCTCTCGGTCTCCCCCGCTGACACTTCTTTCCCTCACCTCCCTCCAAAGTACCAAATCACTGTTGCTGTGGACAAACATGCAGTTAATAAATCCAACAGCCTGCAGGAAAGTGCTACCTGTGTTTTGTGTGAAAAAAAAAAACAGTCATACCTGTGTACCAGTTTTTTAAAAGTTTGATCAGACAAAGACAAGGCAATAATGTCTTTGTCGAGGTGTGTGTGTCTGTACCGTTAGCAAAATATCTTGTGAACTCCTGGACAGATTTCAAGTAAACTGTCAGAAATTAACCATTGACTGTATATCTACAATAAAAATAATATACTATATATACAGCGGGTAAAATAAGTATTGAACATGTCACCATTTTTAATGACATGAAATTTTCACCAGATGTTGGTAACAACCCAAGTGATCCATAC